CCGTACCCGGCTCTCTTGCAGAGGCGTAGCTAGAGTGTTTGGCGCCAGAGGGCATTGTTTCATGTTCACCCCCCCCCCTTTTTTTCCACAACTCTGAAAACCATTATTGTAATGCATTCAATACCATCACACCCTATATTGGCGTCCCCGCTAGTATCGGGCATGAGGATATCTGTCACACCCCTCTTCTCCCTTAGCTACGCCTCTGGCCACTGTCATTGCTCCCCTCCCCCCACCGACAATATGAACACCACCCCCCCCCCTTCCCGGGGAAATGTCTGAAAGGAACACTGCAGGAAAGACTTTAAAAATCGACTCTAAATACAATGGAATTATTAAAAAACCATAAATCTGATCTCCATTCCGGATTATGTTACAGCTATCAAATTTGGTCTACATTTTGGTATCCACTTAAATAACATTACTGTTTGAATATAGTGAACTATTACTCGAACCACTTCTTTTGTTGTTTTTTGGGGGTTTTTTTTAGAAAAAAAATTATTTAAAAATCAGTACAATAAGTGGTGAAAGAGTTGTGTGCAAAGACGAGGACAATTGCAAAGGATTTAATTTTTAATATCAATATCTCCAGAGCCTAAGAAGGTAAAGATTTGAAATTTGTATAGACTTAATTTTGAAAAAAAACAATAATCATATTTTTTTTATGCAAGGATTTAATGATCGCGCTACTAAAAATATTTAAAAAAAAATTTAATAATAAAAGAAGAAAACGCCGTACAATGCGTTATAGTAAAGGTGGTGGAGGTGGTACACTATAATATGAATGTAGCTCAGCGGCGTGGAAAAAAGCAACCTGTGTGTTGGTGAACTTTGCGGGTAATCCTCCAGGTGATGCATTTATTCACGTTTCTTAAAAACCTAATAAAATATGTAATGTGTGTGTGTGGGGGGGGGGGGGGGGGGGGGGGGTTATTTTTTTTTTTTTCTTCTCCGAGGCAGCGCAAAACACGCCTCGGAAAAAGGCGGGTACATTTTATGGATCAATTAAACTTCTTCTGTAAACAGAATTGACGAGTAGGAAATTGGGTAATGTACAATTTTTTTTTAATGTAGATGATAATTGTTTTAAATCCGATCCTATTTCAGTCATGTTTCACATACGAGGTTTACACTTTCTTTTAAAGTTAAAAACATGCTTAACACCAGTGCCGAACGTTACAGCAGTTCAATGTCTTTGACACAATGTGGGCACGTCACATGAATATACTCATGCTCAAGTGCTCAATGAAAGTTTGATCGTTTGAAATACAAGTGTGAACTATCCATTTTACATAATTGTTTTATTTTGTCTTTACATTTCAAGGGCCATGAAATTTGGGTTGAAAGGGGGGGGGGGGTTAAGTTTTGAATATTTTATTAAGTACTTGATTGAAATACTTGAAAGACGTACTTGATTGACGTACTTGATGTTGCCGTCATCACAATATTTCCAAACACATTGCAGGCGTTAATATTGGTATATAAATAATTAAATTGTGTGGGTATGTTTAAAAAAAAAAATCTTCTGTTTTTACATTTTGAAGGCGGGTAAAATTGGATGTCGGTTTTTGGGGGAGGGGTAGAGGGGTAAAATTTTAATATCAATATCTCCAAGCCCGATAATGTTAATCTCCAAGCCCGATAATCTTACAGATTTAAACTTTGGTAGAGATTCAGATATACAATAAATTACCATTCTCTTTGAATAAGCTGAGCATAGGTTCAGAGATTTTTCTTCAGACATAAGAATTCTATGTTACAAGTATCCGAACATATTGGTCAAGAGCATTTAAAATTTGGGGTAAAATTTTAATGACGGTACAAATAATAGCAAAGTCGATTATCTTACATATAAAATGGTATATAACGTTTTTGTTCAATTAAGGACATATAATATTTTTTACAATCTTTCGAAAACATATTTTCTTTTTAGTTCATTGTGAAAAAAAGATTTGGATAAACCTCCATTAAGTAGGAAATAAAATTCATCCAAAAAAAAAAAATTAACTAAAAACGTAAATATCTTAACATTGGCAATTCTTTAAAAATAATGAAATTTTGATTTACTATTTCCGAAATATACATTTAAAGCGCTTAGAAAGGTGGAATTTATTTTTTAGGATACAATAATTCAAAACCGTATTCACTTACATAGGAATTTTTTTTTTTCTTTTTTGTAGACGATGAGACTTTTCAACAGAAGGTAGAATTTAGCGCAATATGCCTTCCATTATTACCCGAGTAACAACGGATCATATATTCTAGTTAATAATCAAAAGCCGAGGCAAATATTAGTGGCTTTTCTCTAGCTTTCTTCTTATAGACTTATAGAATAATAGACATAGAATTATAGACATATAGCCTTATAGCCTTATAGACATATAGCCTTATAGACATAAAGCCTTATAGACTAAGTAGACATATAGCCTTATACAGTGTAACATTCAGAACTAATTGTTGGGTTTTCTCGTAGCGGAGGGGAGGTGTGAAGGGATTGAAGAAGGAGTACGTCCTGTACCAGTTCTGTACAAGTTCTGTACCAGATCTGTACAAGTTCTGTACCAGTTCAGTACCAGTTCTGTACAACTTCTGTACCAGTACTGTACAAGTTCTGTACCAGATCTGTACAAGTTCTGTACCAGTTCTGTGCCAGTTCTGTACCAGATCTGTACAAGTTCTGTACCAGTTCTGTACCAGTTCTGTACCAGTTCTGTACCAGTTCTGTACCACTTTTGTACCAGTTCTGTACCAGTTCTGTACCAGTTTTGAATACCATCGGTTATCTGCAACACCCAAACATAGAAGCGACAATCTGAGCTGATAATCGTTTAAAAAACGTTATTTTTCATTTTTTTTTAAAGAAACAAATGACACATTTAGATTAATATTTCATTTCATCCGAGAAACTTGAATACAAAATGAAACGTAAATGATGATAAAGTATTTATTTCATAAATATAACATTTAATAAATGCGTATAAACAGTCTATGTTGCTGCCAGTTTGCAGAAACTTTTTAAAAAAATGCAAACACAATATATTTATCAAAGTGTTGTGCCCATCTCTCTAGTATTCTACTGCTCTCTGTGATAAATTCTCCACCTGTACTTTCACACATGTGGGATCTGGCTTGAAGCCCGTTCTTTTCCTGCTTTATCTTCAGATCCATTCCCCTCACATCTCTCTCTTTTAAAAACGGTTCTCTAGCTCTGATTTTCTCCAGACAAGTTTTTTTTTCTTTCTGCAAATTTTGCTAGCTACCCTTCTTGCTCCATTAAATAATTGCCGTGTTCTTCTTGTCTCCATTTGCAGGACCATTAGCTGAGCTTTGTTTCTTTGTTCTATAAGATCTTTGCGTTCTGCGTCATACCATCCTGTTCTTTTCACTGTCGGTTTAAATCCAATCGTGATGGCATGGCCAAGATAGGTCATGGCTGTGTCAAAGATAGGGGATGGCATGGCCAAGATAGGTCATGGCTGCGTCAAAGATAGGGGATGGAATGGCCAAGATTTGTCATAGCTGTGTCAAAGATAGGGGATGGCATCGACAAGATAGGTGATGGCATTTCCAAAAAAAATGTCACAGTCGAGAAAAAGCATAGGTCATGATTGCCAAATTATAGGCCACTAGTGTGCCAAAAATAATAGGTCATATTTAAGCGAAACTTACGTCAAAGCTCATAGCCAAAGAGAAGCCATCGATGTACAAAAATTGGTTAAGCTGTGTAAAAATAGGTCATGCTGTGATAAAAAAATTAACATGCTGTGTTAAAAACAGGTCATGCTTGTGCTAAAAATTGATAAGTGATGATTATAAAAAAAAAGATAGGTTATCGCTGTGCCAAATCATAATTGTATTGCTGTGCTAAGTGATAGTCTATCGCTATGCCAAATGATAGGTCATGGCTGTGCCAAATCATAATTGTATTGCTGTGCTAAGTGATAGTCTATCGCTATGCCTAATGATAGGTCATGGCTGTGCCAAATCATAATTGTATTGCTGTGCTAAGTGATATTCTATCGATATGCCAAATGATAGGTCATGGCTGTGCCAAATCATAATTGTATTGCTGTGCTAAGTGATAGTCTATCGCTATGCCTAATGATAGGTCATGGCTGTGCCAAATCATAATTGTATTGCTGTGCTAAGTGATATTCTATCGATATGCCAAATGATAGGTTATGATTGTGCAAAATGAAAGGTCATGGTTATGGTGTTTGACAGGTATTCGCAGTGAGACATATCAGGTCATGGCAGTGTCAAAGTAACGCGTTATTGCTATGACAGGTGATAGGTCATTGCGAAGCAATATCATAGGTCATGGATGCGCTAAAGAAAGTTCATCGTTCTTCAACGGTGTACCAAATAATAAAGTCAAGGCTGGGCCGAATTATAGCTGACTGCTGTTCCAAATAGAGCTATCGTCGTATTGCGTTAAGTAGTTTTGAAGTCAGTGTTCCACAGTGTTGTCGCTAGCGGTTGGCCGTTAACTGAAATTAGAATGTCAGCCATCTTGATTGCTGTTGGCAAAAAGTTTTCATTTTGGTGCAAGTCGTGGTTTTGAACACATACAGAAGAAACTGTAATCGAAGAACTGTTATTTGTTGACAATCTCAAGTGTGGATGAAAGCATTCATTGTACAGAGTTGTTCTCTAGACAAACAAAATAGCGCTTATTGAAATGCCCGTTCAGTGAATGCCCCTTCCACCAGGAGTCTGTTCACTGTAAGAAGGAAGTTCGTAACACACATCTTTACAAATGTAATACAATTACAATTCCATTTTCACACATAGGTAATGCTATCAAATTTTCCTGCCAACACACAGGTAATATGTCAGGAAATAATTGAATGAGGTATGTGGAAGCTTGAATCAAAACACATGACAATGAGATATGAACGCTTCGGCTAAGAGCCTTCCACTGCAGACAAGACAAATGAAGATACGACAAGAAATAGAAAATTGTTTGAACGCAGTTCTTCATTTATTATAATATATCATGCTATCTCTTCACAAAGGTAATATATCATGCTATCTCTTCACAAAGGTAATATATCATGCTATCTCTTCACAAAGGTAATATATCATGCTATCTCTTCACAAAGGTAATATATCATGCTCTCTCTTCACAAAGGTAATATGTCAAGCTATCTCTTCGCAAAGGTAATATATCAGGTATCTCTTCTCACAGGTAATATATCAGGCTTTGTCGCACAGGTATTTTGTCAGGATATCTCTTCACACAGGTAATAATAACATAACTCAAATGATTACTATCGCCTTGCTGTGTGTCCTATGCAATACTACATAAATCTCCTTTCAACATAATGGTAGGAGGATATTCCCCTTTCAAACAACTGTAAAAAAAGACAACTACCTAGCGACTACTTTAACGAAAGTGGCACTGTCAACGAAAGTGACACTGTCACAATCCTCTTTCGAGATTATATCATTTCTATCCCATTCCATTTTCGAATAAATGTTATTTTTATAAAGCTCTTTTAGATCAGTAACACTATCACAATCCCCTTTCAGAGACGTATTGCTGTCACAGTCGCCTTTCACAAACGTCTGACTATCGTAATGGCATTTGACCAATGTATCGCTGTTGACCGATCCATCCGAATGACCTCCGGTCAAACGTGTCAATGTCTTGGATCTCCCGTCAGCGATAAACGGCGCGTCCCGTTCGACTTCGTCACCATATCTCCTCCCACCCTGTTTACTTTGGGTCCTTCTATCGACGCTTTTGCACCACCCATCCTGGGCCGCCCGGGCATCAGCCGATGCCCTCCTGGCAACCCCGCACAGGGGCGGCTTGGCAGGGAGGTTGAGTTCTTTATCCGGAGTCTGTATGTTGAGAGGGTACTCCGGCACCTGTGACGGAGAACAGTTGATGTTCCACGGAATCAACACTTTCCTGGGTTTCAGATAGCCGTCGAATTCTGATAATTCGTTCAACTGCTCCTGCTGAGTCGGGGACTCGTGTCCGCGGTCGGACAGCGCCACGGTCGGGTCATCTTCTGTCCATCCGTCGGATTCTTCCGTCGTGTCATCGTAAAGAACCCGCCTTTCTATGATGGAGGCGGGTACGCTCGGACGCGGAGGCAGGCGTGGCGGGGGTGGTTGGGGCGTGTCGACCAGCGTGTAGTCCCCTGTGGCGGGAGGCGGTGGCGTGTGGTACAGCTTAAAGTAGTAGTAGCTGTACAGGTCGGCGCCGTGCCGGTAGATGAAGACGCACATACCGATGATGATTGGTAGGATGACGAGGGCCAGGGCCGCGGCTGTGATGTAGTACACGGGGGTCATTTTGCTGGGGGTCACGGTCTCTCGTGGAGCACCGGCGGTCTTCAGAACAAAAAGGATCTTGGTGGTACTGGTGGGATTGCCGCAGTCGGACATGTTGGCCTGGACAGAGCACGTGCAGATGTACCAAGGGCGAGACGGGCCCAAGGAGATCTGGAACTCCACGCGTGCGCTTTGGTTGGACATTTCCAGAACCGAGTTGTTCGTCGAGTTGCATCTGACATGGCATGACGTGTTAACTGTAGGCGCGGGCTTAACCTTACACTGGAAAGAAATGTTTTTACCGCCTTCGACTTCAGTTCTTGTGCTGAGATTGAACTCGTCCTTGTCACCACTGTCGATAAAATAAGCCCCGAGCCCACGGCAGCTGTCCGCGCTCCTTCTTACAAGGAATTTTTTTGACGTGTTCGATTCAGTACCCGAGCTGGGTCCTCTGGCGATCCCAGGGGATTCATCGGAACACGATGGGTTAAGGAGCTTTGATGTCGCCAATGTCCTGACACGATCTCCTCCCCCAACATTGGCCGCACAAATCCTGCAAGCGCTGACCAGCTCGGTCTGGCCGGTTGAAGTGTTCCAGGAACGACAGCTGACCCGCCGGCCGTGGTCAGTCGGGGACACGTGTCTTAATGTGAATGAGCTTTGGAGCTGGGATCCCCTCAGGTCGTCCTTGACGTCATAACGGTGGGGGCTGATTTCCGAGCAGGGCGGGTGGGTAAAATCGCATAGAGTAGTGGTGGTAACCCCGGGGTCAGAGGTCAAGAGGTCTGGCTTGGAACTGACGTGGGTGATCTCCCATCTCAGGCGCTTGAATGATCTTGGAAATAAAATATATTTGATATAATAACATATTAGATATATATTACAGAAAAAACTCTAGCAGTGGCGTACCTTGACACAATGCCACCCTGGATGAACTCTTAAATGTATGCGACTCCCAAACAAACACACACATACATATTATTTATATAATGTTATTAATAAATCCCAAAAAATGACGGTCAAGACGCCCCTCCCCCCCCTTCCTTTTTTCAAAACTATTGACGTCAATGCATATTATATACAAAAACCAATTAGTACATTTTTTTTTTAAAGTCAAGAACAAGCTACATTTTTTAACAAATATAAAAAATGCAGAATTTGTTCTTTTTTGTTTTCTTCTTTTTAAAAACTTTTTATTTATAAAGGGGGGGGGGGGGGTTAAAAAAAAATTATTTACAAAAACCAATTAGTACTTTTTTTTTTTAAAGTCAAAAACAAGCTACATTTTTTAAAAAATATAAAAAATGCAAAATTTGTTCTTTTTTGTTTTCTTCTTTTTAAAAACTTTTTATTTATAAAGGGGGGGGGGGGGTTAAAAAAAAAGCAAGATATATCACTACGTGAGACAAGCCACTGTAAGCAACAAAACGTGGCAGTTTATCATCCAAGCACTGGTTTTCTTCTTTTTCTTCTTATATTTGATGGGCCCACGATCAATTCGTTGGTCATTATGGCTCCTGGTTTTAAATCAGAGTTTGCCTTCTCTTAGATGGGTCGACGTCCAAGGCTAACGAGTCCCATCCACCCGGGGTGCTTGGGATGTTGGCTTTGGTGGGGATTGAACTCCAGACCACCAGCTATTTGTTGTGAGACAGTTAAGACTGCTCGGCCACCCAGTCTAATATAAGACTCGACGGTGGCCACAACGCGTGTATCAAGGTATCCAGAAATCCAATCAACATTGAAGACATGAGAGAAACATTTTCCTGTCCCCCTCAACCCTCTGCCCTCCCCCCCCCCCCCTGGTGGCCACAACGCGTGTATCAAGGGATCCAGAAATCCAATCAACATTGAAGACATGAGAGAAACATTTTCCTGTCCCCCTCAACCCTCTGCCCTCCCCCCCCCCCACGCAGGTCCAAACCCCAAATTACCTGTTTTTATCCGTGCTGCAGCTCAATGTCAGCGGCGTACCCACTTGAGCCGGCGGACACCACTGCACCGTATTTCCCGAACACCGGAATGCAATTTGGCAAACCAACAGCACGGCCAGCTGCACCCTCGTGTGATGGACGGAGATCTTGAGCCTCGCGTGATGGTCAGCCATGTCACAATCCAACCGTCAGCTGTCGAGTCACGTGCACCGTCAAGATGGACTGCAATGTGGACCAACAACTGCAACACAGCATACATTGGTACGTGTTTATTTAGTTTTTTTATCCGACTAAATGAGTTATGGAGAAAAAAATCGGATGGGGTTGGACCGATAGGTCTGATGTTTTTTTTAGGACAGTGGTTCTCAACCTTCCTAATGCCGTGACCCTTTAGTAGTTCCTCATGTTGTGGAAACCCCTAACCCTAAAATTATTTTAGATGCTACCTTATAAATATAATGTTTTCCGATGGTCTTAGGTGACCCTTGTGTAGGAGTCGCTCGACCCTCAAAGAGGTCGCGACCCACAGGTTGAGAACTGCTGATTTAGGATTAAATGGAAGACGCTTCTTGGTTTGTGAGATATCGAAAAAAATCTTTAAAGGGGGGTGGGGGTGGGGGCAAGAATGATGGTGGAAATTGTTGAATGACTAGTCCATGACAGGAGGTCAAATGGGTCTTGGTGGAGATCGATGGGGTACATATATGGAGGAGAATATGATCTATGGGAAATATAAAATTGGTATTTGGGATGCAAGACAATGGTTAATAGGATAGAAGAAGATGTCCAACAGAATTCAGGAAGTTAGTCTAAGATGGGATTCGAGAAGTTTGTTTATGGGATTAGGAAAATCAGTTTATGGGATTCAGGAACGTTAGTTTATGGCAGTGGCGTAGCTAGGGTTGGTGTCACAAGGTGTGGTAAACTCATGGTGTCACCCCCACCCCCGACTTTCACAATGGATTTCTTCTTGTTGAAATAAGTCTACATCAAAAAATATATATACATATATATATATATTTTTTTTTAAATGACAAGAACAAAAAAGACAAAAAAAATTGAAGGTCAGTAGGTAAATGTATTTAAGAAATGTAACAACATTAAGTTATAGTTATTTTTTACAATAAATTAACTTTATTTTTTGGTTTATGAGATTCAGGAAAAAGTTTGAAATGTTGAATTATATATATAAATATATATATATATATATATAGTTAATTGTTAAAGGAGCCGTCCATGATTCTCCATAGGGAAAACTTAAGCCATGGCTTAAGCGTAGCAGTCAAGGGGCGTATATACAGACGAAATAACAAGCAGATATTGTCAAATTTTCAGTAGGCTGTTATTTTGAAATGGGCATATAAAAGGCTGTAGTTGTGTAGATTGAATTAATTATATAATGTCGTTCAAATATGTTCAAGATTGTACTAAATCATTATGTTTAAAAATAAAATGTTAGACATTAAATTGGAAATCATAATTTAACTTTTAGGGGCGCGGTGCAGAATTACATGCCTTGGCCTAGGGCGCAGAATTACGTGATTTGGCCTAGGGCGCAGAATTACGTGATTTGGCCTAGGGCGCAGAATTACGTGATTTGGCCTAGGGCGCAGAATTACGTGATTTGGCCTAGGTAATGTGGTCGACAAATTGCGGCCCGCGAACCGCACGCGACCCTTTAGCGACCTGAGTGTGGCTCGGCAATATTATTGCAGGTATATTGGTACTATGATTGTTGGTATAGTGGTACTATGATTGCTGGTACAGTGCTACTATGATTTTCGTTCTAGTGGTCCACTATTGTTGGTCTACTGGTTGTTGAAGTGTCCAGTGGTACTAGGATTGTTTGTTTAATAAACTATATGATTGTTAGTCTAGTTCAGCGGTACTCAACCTTAGGGTCGCAATCCCTATTGGGGGGGGGGGGTCAAACGACTGTCGAGGGTATGAGAATCACTGTTGTTATGTGTAGAGCGTTGTTGTCATGTTTGATAGGGAAAAGATGTTGGTTAGAGATTTTATGTGCAGCCGTATCGTTTTGTGAGTTTGTGACGTAATTGTGTAGTGGGAAGTGACGCGTTACTTTTGGTTGTGGTTAGAGAAGAGAGATGGCGGATGTGCTACATTGACTGTTGTGAAATGAATACTGCTAAGTGTTGTGCTGAGAAATTAAGTATCAAACATAGTTTGGGAATTGCGGTTAATCAAATGAAGAGTTGTGCTGAAAGGATTCGATTGTTGCTCCAACATTAAGTATCAACCTTAGTTTGTGAATTGTTGTTAAATAAACTTTTGTTTACAACAAACCGGTTGATGTTTGTTGCATTGGTTACTGTTGCTGTATGATGTACTGCCGAACGGAATGAAGTGAAAGACTTGGACATACAGAAGAAACGCTTCGCGACAACAACCCTTTCACAGGGGTCGCTTAAGACCTTCAGAAAACACATACACTCTACATACACTCTGCAGTTATGAAGTAGCAAAGAAAATAATTTTATGGCTAGGGGGTCAGCACAACATATGGAACTGTTTTAAAGGGTCGCGGCATTAGGAAGGTTGAAAACCACTGGTCTAGTGGTTCTATGATTGTTTGCTCTAGTGGTGCTGTGTGTGTATAGGTCGAGCTGTACATCGGTTGTTGGTCTAATCAATCTAGGATTTTTTTTTTAAATTGTTAAAAGTGTCTATTACTAATCTCATTGTTTAAGGTCATATGATGATTGTTCATCAATTAGGTTCTCTACCACCGCCTGGCCTCTAAGCTTGACCATCGCACGGCACTTGAGCGCTGGTATTCATGGAAAATAACGTTATGTCCTGTAAAACTAGTACTATTCTCAACGCATTTCTTTGTCACATCGGTTGTGTGAAGAAATGTTTATTTTGTAAGAGTTCTAAAAAAAAAACAACAACAACAAAAAAACAAAAACCCAGACTCCAAACAAAAACCCAGACTCCATTAATTCATTTATTATTTGACACTATAGAGACTAAAAGAAGATGAGAGGACATTTTTGAGGCAGTCCGGATCTTAGAACACAGCCTCACACCTGGCGGGAGGGGGGGTGGGGTTAGGGGGGAGATATAACTTTCAGTCCTATTCATAAGGTAAAACTGAAACTAAAGTGATACAGGGAAAAACACTGACGTACCTGGTTTCGGTATTATATGACATGCAGTTATGATGGGTTTTTTTTTTTTTTTGAAACACAGCGATTTTGAAATGCATGCTTCATGGAAGCGGGGGTGGCATATATGGCGGGGTGGCAAATATCAAGGGGGGTCAAATATGGCGGGGAAATATTTGATGTTCTTTGGTCAGCTTACTTATTGGACAGTGAATGCAGGAAGAGGCCTTTGGGCAGTGAATACAGGAAGAGGCCTTTGGACAGTGAATGCAGGCAGGGGCGTTTGGGCAGTGAATGCAGGAAGAGACCTTTGGGCAGTGAATGCAGGAAGAGACCTTTGGGCATTGAATGCAGGCAGGGGCGTTTGGGTAGTGAATGCAGGAAGAGACCTTTGGACAGTGAATGCAGGAAGAGGCCTTCGGGCAGTGAATACAGGAAGAGGCCTTTGGGCAGCGCAGTGGAGAAAGTTTCATTTGGACAGTTCAATGGAGAAACATTTCATTGTGACATGGGGGCAGTGGAAGTTTTCTTTCAACATTAGGGTGAAAAGAGTATCAATTGGACATTGGAGTGAAGAATGTGTTTTTTTGGAATATGTAGCAAAAAATGTGTCATTTGGATACTGGGGTGAAGAAAGTGTCTTTTTGATATTTGGGTGAAGAAAGTGTCATTGGATATTGGATTGAAGAATGTGTCCTTTGGTGAAGAAAGTGTCATTGGATATTGGATTGAAGAATGTGTCCTTTGGACACTGGGTGGAGAAAGTTTTATTTGGACCTAGTGGTGAAGAAAGGGCCATTTTGTCTTTTGGGAAAAGAATGTGTCATTTGGACATTGGTGTGGAAAATGAGGCCTTTGGACACTGGGTTGAAGAAAATTTCATTTAGATGTTGGGGTGAAGAAAGAAGTGTCATCTGGACATTGGGGTTCGAAAAAAATTCATTTGTACATTCGGGTGGAGACAGTGTCATTTAGACACTGGGGTAAAAAAGTGTCATTTGGACATTAATGTGGAGAAAGTTTTCCTCAAACATTATAACGGAGAAAAGAAGGTCTGCTCTCAAAAATAATGTATTCACACAATATCAGAGCAGCTTATAGATTACTAAAATCCACAGTTTGCAATAAAAAAAATAAATATAAATGGCTCCCATGTGTCCCAAATCCTCCATTCAGCGAAGCTTAGGGAGAACTATTACGTAAAACAGTGGTTCCCAACCTTCCTAATTATGCGACCCTTTAATACAGTTCATCATGTTTTGGTCACCCCCAACCTTAAAACTATTTTCGTTCCTACTTCATAAATATGTATTTTCCGATGGTCTTGTGCGACACCTGTGTAAGGGTCGTTTGACCCCAAAATTGAGATCCACTGCTCTAAAACCACTGTCTGCCCTAAATTTTGTAACGTTTTAAGGGTTTTTATTACAGATTTTCCTATTCTACGTTTATAAGTAACAACACTTAAAGCACTCTGACTCGCTCAACCCTACACTTACAATTTTATTAATGTACTACTTCGCTCTTGCCATTTTTAGACCCTTTAATCTCAAAACCCCACACTTAAAAAATCGAATCTATGTAAAAAAAAAAAAAAAAAAAAAAATTCCTCTCTTAAACTTTGATCCAATTAAACTTTAAAGCTACGAAACAAGGCTGACAATACTCACGTGCCACAACTCGGTTGAAAAAACAAATTGATCCAAAAAGTCTCACAGTTAAAATAAACCTTTCAAAGTGTTGTGGAAAACGCTGCTCTATAAATCTGACACAAACCTTTTGAAACGTGTTTCCCGGAATTCATTATTTTTGTAAAGGTTTCCAGTAAGCGCTAGGACGTACTTTCACCTCACATCTGTTTAACACACAGCACACTGAGAGCACGGTCTGTTAACCAAAGCACAGCACGGCAGGGCACATTAAAAAACACTTTGACACTTGGGCTACGTAACATGGAGGCGAGACATTGGGGGAGGGGGGTTGGTGATGCAGTTTTGGGACGGCTGTCAGGGCCCCAATATTAATACATTTGAGGGAAACCAACTTTTCTATTTCAGTTTCGAGAGATCCCTGACCTACTTTTTAATTTCCACAAATCAGGAACAGGCCTTCGCCAATCTTTGTGTCCTGATAGGCAGAAAAACATTGCGCCCCTGCCCCCGCCCCCGCAAAGAACCCCCCCCCCCACTGCTCATAAAATTTGTATTTAGTTATTTGTTATTTTTGTGTGTGGTTGTGGTCTGCGGGTGGCTACGTATTTATTAAAGCAGGGGAATACCCACATTGGCAAGACATGCTTGTTATTCAACATGTGTACGCCAAGTATTGGGGACGTCAGGGCCGGCTCTACGGTTGCTGGCGCCCCGGGCAAGCTTATCTTTGGGGCCACTTTTAAGTATGGTCGTAAAAAAATAATGCAAGGAAAACACTACGTTTGCTATACTATATAGTAAAACAAAATAGTGCGTTCAAAAATAAATTTGAAGCAAAAATTTGATCGTGTGAACTGAACATAAAATTCCACCAAACTTCCTTTCGAACAAACTTCCGTCGATCACTTTTCCGTCGACGAAATTTTTTTGAAACAAATTTCAGGTAACTGTTTCCGGAACTTAAAAACCTAGCCGGCCTTTCATGAAATAGGAAACCACTGAATGAAATCTTTGAAATTAGGAAAGCTGTAACATTTGTTTGAGGTTTGGGGCTCATGGTGTCATGTATATATAAGTGCGATTTGAGGATCCCTGAAATAGATGAAAGTGCTTATGGTGTATATTATGGTGACGCTCAAGATTGATACCTATCTATTTTATAGGGAACCGTTGGGCGGAAGTTATCAGTGTGTTCGTCGGCTTGTCGTCCGGCTCAAAATATTTTGACAATAATATTATCTTTTTGACATACCTTAGTCAGTCCATTGAAATGTGAAGTTGTGAGGTTGATATCATTGACGTGGTAATGTATGTGAAAACTGAGGGACGATAAACATTCGTGCCAGCATTTTAGCGTCAGCAGAGAATTATGTATGTTGATGGTAAAGAGAAATAGAGAAAGTAAAAAGGAAGACAAAGGCCGCAGGGAAGGGGAAAAAAATTAAAATATCTGGAGAGATAAATATTATAAAGTACACGTTATTTAAAGTGACAAATATTAAAGTATTTATAACTAGCAAGATCTGAAATCATACATATATAGTACAAGTACTAAACATTTATCCATTTATAGCTATCCATAAACACGGTGAGCAACTCTGGATTTACATAAATGTTTTTCAGTATATCGATGATATGGCAAACCATTCATCATTCAATACCTATGTGTTGTTACTCTGGATTTAAAAGGTTAATTTAAGTATATGTCAAACTAACTAAATAGCAATTGACACTTTTTTTGTTTACATAACCAGACATAATCATGTTCGATGATAAAATAGGACACCAACGATGATTAACTATCCAACATGAGTTTCCTAATGGAAAATACAAAAATATGTTAAATAATATTGACTAATTACATATGTTATACTACGGTATTTCGCTTACATGAGAAGAACACATAGTTGCTCTCCCACTCTATGTGAGAAGCAAAGTTGTCCAGTGCAATCTCAATATATTCATGTCCATGACCGCACCTGTAGGCAAAATCATTTCAACCTAAAACTTAGACTAAAGAAAAATTATAGTTTTTAAATACATAATATACAGACAGCACTGCGTCAGCGTTAGGGAAAGAGTCGCAACTAAGAAAAATGATGCACTAATTGGGATTCCTTTAAAATGCGTTATGTTTATGAAAATATTTAATTACATTTTCAGCCTCACCCCTTTGCTTCATATTACATTTTATACAAGATTTATACGGAAAAAAACTTTGTTTTTAAATGTTTTTTTAAAAATTTGTTGAATCAATAAATGCAAGAGGTTTGGGAATAGTTCTATTGGATGTTTATGAAATGTCGTTTCATGTTTAATTCTTAATATTTTTGGTTCATTAACCATGCGCTATTCTTTTATTAGACTGGCCATGGAATGTTGTTTTATTTGATTAGCAAAGTTGTTTATTAGCCATGCCATGTTGTTTTATTAGATTGGCAAATTTGTTTATTAGCCGTGCCATGTTGTTTTATTAGATTAGCAAAGTTGTTTATTAGCTATGCCATGTTGTTTTATTAGATTAGCAAAGTTGTTTATTAGCCATGCCATGTTGTTTTATTAGATTAGCAAAGTTGTTTATTAGCCGTGCCATGTTGTTTTATTAGATTAGCAAAGTTGTTTATTAGCCGTGCCATGTTGTTTTATTAGATTAGCAAAGTTGTTTATTAGCCGTGCCATGTTGTTTTATTAGATTGGCAAAGTTGTTTATTAGCCGTGCCATGTTGTTTTATTAGATTGGCAAAGTTGTTTATTAGCCGTGCCATGTTGTTTTATTAGATTAGCAAAGTTGTTTATTAGCCGTGCCATGTTGTTTTATTAGATTAGCAAAGTTGTTTATTAGCCATGCCATGTTGTTTTATTAGATTAGCAAAGTTGTTTATTAGCCATGCCATGTTGTTTTATTAGATTAGCAAAGTTGTTTATTAGCCATGCCATGTTGTTTTATTAGATTAGCAAAGTTGTTTATTAGCCATGCCATGTTGTTTTATTAGATTAGCAAAGTTGTTTATTAGCCATGCCATGTTGTTTTATTAGATTAGCAAAGTTGTTTATTAGCCATGCCATGTTGTTTTATTAGATTGGCAAAGTTGTTTATTAGCCATGCCATGTTGTTTTATTAGATTAGCAAAGTTGTTTATTAGCCATGCCATGTTGTTTTATTAGATTGGCAAAGTTGTTTATTAGCCATGCCATGTTGTTTTTCAGCCAAAAAAGAGTGAAGTTGTGGAAAACTTTTGGCATTAAAACTCGACAAACTCCCTTGTTATTTATATAGCAAACTACTGCGTTGGGCTTGGTTTACTTTTAAACTGCGCAGAGTTATTTTTAGCCACCATAACTTGTCTGCTAGCAGAATGGCCTTAAAATTGACGTCACTGAGGGAATGTATTGTAACGCCCTGCCATACCCGTCCCTGTCATGGTTGGCGAAAAAAATTGTTTGTATTTGAATGCGTTCCAAGAATGCCAATAGGTGACGCAATTTCTAGATTTTGTGTACTAGAACGTTCTCATTTAATTCCTATATAATGCCCACCAGGTTTTGTTTTTAGCTGATAGGCATTCTGAGGCTTAGACATTCCAGATTTACTCAGAGATAGGCTGATAGATGGACATACGAGACGCTAACATTAATATTTCTATTTTGAGATTGTAATTTTTTTCCACACTTTAATTTTATACACTTTTTGCATCTGTAATGAATTTGTATTTTGCATAGTAATTTATTTAAATAATTAGATTTAATTTTCAGTAACAATAGATTTAGTGTCGTTTTCCTAGGCCTACTGTTAGGTCAGTCTCTTTTTTATGTATTGTTTCTTCTACGAGACAACGATCAGCACAGTTTTGATCTCTATAACCACAACGGTACGTAAGATCCTTATGTATAACTTTCCTGAAGCGTGTGCTTCATATTTCAATTTGTAGAACGTCCCCACGACGTAATGCTACATATTTTACGTACCACTTGTACTCAAATAGAGTCTCTCTACCCCGCCACCGAGCTATGACTTTGAGCACAATCAATATAAGCAATACTTGTCAAATCAAATCTTTTAAAAAAAAAAAAAACACAGAAAACAAGAAAAAAAAAACAACACATACTGTTTTTAATTAATTTTTTCCACAATTCTTTTAATTACTTTAGATGACTTTGCCAATGAATGTTCAAAGTAATGTTTTTGAATGTTGGAGGCTTACTTGATAAAAGAATGAAAACATGAATAAAATAACCGAAGACACACACACTTAATGGCACGGAACAAACTTGTAATGTCGGCGGTACAATTTAAATGGGTACAAAGGCAGTAATACAAAGTAATCAGTACAAAAAAAATTATTTATAAAATTTACAATGGTATAATGTATACCGGTAATTAACAAAAGAGTTTATGATCCATGGTATTAAGTTATTGGTACAAAATTAAGTTGTACAATTTCAAAGTCTGAAAGTAATTCGCACACACGTGAATCATACAATGTCAGTGGTGTCGCGCCATTGGCACACACGTGACTTATACAATGTCAGTGGTGTCGCGCCATTGGCACACACGTGACTTATACAGTATCAGTGGTGTCGCGCCATTGGCACACACGTGACTTATACAATGTCAGTGGTGTCGTGCCATTGGCACACACGTGACTTATATAATGTCAGTGGTGTCGCGCCAATGGCACACTAGTAAATTACGCAATGTCAAGGGTGTAACGCAATTGTCACACAAACATATTAAAGAACGTCAATTGGTGTCTATTCGTTGGCACACAAGCAGATGATACAATGTCAATGGTATAAGTCAGTGGTTCTTAACATGGGTTCGATCGAACCCCAGGGGTTCGGTGAGCCAGTCTCAGGGGTTCGTCGGAGGTCCCCCAAAAAATCAGAAAAAAAGAAAATGGTATTTTATTTTTCCTATTAAGAAGGGTTCGGTGAATGCGCATTTAAATCTGGTGGGGTTCGGTACCTCCAAAAAGATTAAGAACCACTGGTATAAGTATCAAGTAATCGGCTCAATCTCATTGGTCAGAACACTCAGAATTGAGATCTACTAGCATAATAAAGCACTTTTTTTTAAATTTTAGTCCAATAACTTCACTGTTCCATCATCAACCGTTGACAACATGAGACCTTGAGATGTGTGACGAAACACATTCATAGCATAAGACATTTACATGTATGACTAAATATATTTATAACATACGACTTTTATTTACGTCCGACTAGATTAAGAATGACTCCACGGCATCGATACCCCAATGTCGACTAGGGGGGACCTGAGGCCAATGACGTCATCAGAGTCGTGGTCTTCAAATCTGTTCTTGAGTGCTAATTGTAGATCAGCCCCCCCCCCCTTTTTTGTCCATCACCTCAGTTTATGTGACGGTCTAATGTTACGTCATACCGTTTAACAACACAGTATTTTGAAACCCCTTAATGAGAGTCTCTTTTTATTTCAAACTTTATTTTAATGATGGGTGGTGGGGGGGGGGGGTGGGTGCGGTGTGTGTGGGTGGGTACGGTGTGGGGGGGGGGGTGCGGAGTGGTTGAAACCCCTTAATGAGAGTCTCTTTTTATTTCAAACTTTATTTTAATGATGGGTGGTGGGGGGGGGAGGTGGGTGCGGTGTGTGTGGGTGGGTACGGTGTGGGGGGGTGGGTGCGGAGTGGTTAAGGTGTGGTGGTGGGGACGGTTTTGGGTGGGTGAGGTGTGGGTCAGTAAACCATAGTTAAACATAATCGTCCTTCCCCTACACTTACACGGCCAGACCACAATGCCACGATTTATTGTGACGCCAACAACCAAACAAAACAATTTAATAATTCTAATTTGTGTTGATTCCTTCCCCCCCTCCCCCCCACACACACATAGACCCCGAACCCATTTTTTTCATGATGTTGCCATTTTTTTTTAGACTTATCCCAAACCGTTCTTTTGAACACTTATCGACCCAACATATCCAATCCTATTTTTGTATCTTTAAAACATGGGCAGTATTATTTTTCTATCATAAAAACATTTATCAGTCTTCTTGTCAGTCTCTTTGTTAGTCTTTTGTCAGTCTTTTTGTCAGTCTTTTTGTCAGTCTTTTTGTCAGTCTTTTTGTCAGTCTTTTTGTTGTATCGGCAAAACATCGTCAGTATTATTTTTCTGTCATCAAAACATCGTCACTAGTATTGTTTTACGTTTAAAATATTGTCTCAACTTTATTGTTTTAATTCTTAAATACTAAGCTTTCATCTTCTTTTTAAATTTAGAAACGTATTATTTATTATGTTATTTTTTTTTACAAAATGGTCAAATATATCCCCATGAGCATGGTCAAATAAGTCCCCATGGACATGGTCAAATATGTCCCCATGGACATGGTCAAATATGTCCCCATGGACATGGTCAAATATGTCCCCATGGAAATGGTCAAATATGTCCCCACGGACATGGTCTAATACGTTTACATGGACATCGTCAAATATGTCCCCATGGACATGGTCAAATATGTCCCCATGGAGATGGTCAAATATGTCCCCATGGAGATGGTCAAATATGTCCCCATGGAGATGGTCAAATATGTCCCCATGGAGATGGTAAAATATGTCCCCATGGACATGGTCAAATATGTCCTTATAGACTGGTCAAATATGTCCCCATGGACATGGTCAAATATTTATCCATGGACATTGTCAAATATGTCCTCATAGACATGGTCAAATAATTCCCCATGGACATGGTCTAATATTTCCCCATGGACATGTTCAAATATGTCCCTATGGACATGATAAAATATGTTTCCACGGACATGATAAAATATGTCCCCACGGACATGGTTAAATATGTCCCTATGGAGATGGTTAAATATGTCCCTATGGAGATGGTCAAATATATCCCCATGGACATGTCAAATATGTTCCCATGGAGATGGTCAAATATGTCCCCATGGAGATGGTCAAATATGTCCCCACGGACATGGTGAAATATGTCCTCATAGACTTGTCAAATATGTCCCCATGGACATGGTTAAATATTTATCCATGGACATGGTCAAATATGCCCATATGGACATGGTCAAATATGTCCTCATGGACATGGTCAAATATGTCCTCATAGACTTGTCAAATATGTCCCCATGGACATGGTTAAATATTTATCCATGGACATGGTCAAATATGTCCTCATGGACATGGACAAAATTATTGACTGTTTTATCATTTCCCAGATCAGTCTCTCATAATAGCTCAGCATGAATCTCTCTATCTTTAGAATTCTCTAGGTGTGAAAGATATCGTGTAAGGCTGATTTCAATAGCGCGCACAATAAATTTCCCGATAACTTCGATTAATGAGATTCTTAAAAGTACCGCAAGTGCGTTTGGGGCGTAACACTTGCTTTTGTTTTTACGGAAATAGTATCAATTTAAATATAATATAATACATTTGCGTTGTGAAAGGTGGCGGGACTATGAGATATTATTTTAGTTCAGGGGCGTGAAAAACGTGGTTGATCGCGTAACCCGGGGGCTGGAGAATGGAGAGGGGGGGGGGGGAGGGGTTAGTTATAAATTGAGATGCCCATAATGTTCGTTTCTTGAAAAAAAAAAATTTTGGGGGGTGGGGGGGGGAGGGGGGGGGGGGGGGGGGGGGGGGGGGGGGGGGGGGGGGGTTAGTTATAAATTGAGATGCCCATAATGTTCGTCTCTTGAAAAAAAAAAATTTGTTAAGTGACTTTAGTAGATGGGAAGTTCCCGCATTGTAGCCACCCCTGTCTGGCGGGCTATAACTAGATAAATATAATCTAACATAACGTGGTATGAAATTAATATGTAGTATGAACAATGAGCATAAATAAACATCAATAAAATGAAATAAATTATTAAACAATCGATCCTCAAAGTGAATCGTAAACAGGTTTGCTTAAAGCATTCTTCCAATGGCGTAGGAAGGGTGGGGCGGAGGGCGCGGCGCCTCGCCTCCCCCATCCGGTGTCACTTTTTTTCTATAATGACAAGTTGCATTTTCCAACAACTGGAGAGGGTGCGGAAAAATTCTTGGCCCGCCCCTGGCGGCACTAACTCTAGGTACGCCATTGATCTTATCCCAGTCAAACAGAAGTCTACTGAGACGATTTCCCTTCGCGTCATGACGTAGCTTGGTTAAGAATTTGTCGCGTTTCCAATATAGTGTTACTAAACAGCGGTTGTAAATCCAGTTGATCGTCGTCATTATACAGGGATTGTACATCCAACCGGTCATCGTCGTTATAAATAAATTGCACGTCTGCAGTTGCACCCAGGTCGGATTCCTGTGGACTCAAGTTTAAAGAAAGAGGCTGATGGTTCCCAAAGCTGGCGTCTCGCCTCGGGGGACTTGTTGGCGGGGGGACCATGTTGATGCTGTTGTTCTGGCGGCCGTGTTGTCTTGGCGGCAGCTTCGGAGAGCCCTGGTAGCAGTTGAGCTCTTCAATGTCCGCGAGAATGTCCGAGGAGTCACTGTCGTCAAACGACATCGCTGGTGCCCAGCCGTGGGTGACGTCAGAGGCGATGACATAATCATTCTGCGGGGAGCTGGCGGTCCCCTTTCTCTTTTCTAAAGTTGTGCCGCCTCTCGCCATGACGTCATTGCTCCTCAGCACCAGGCCGTTAATGTTGGGCAATTCACTAAAGCTAGTGTCGTGAAACGCGGTGCTGGAATCGGAAGTGACGTCAAGATTTTCAGCAGCTTTCCTCCGATGCGCGTCACGTGAAGAAACCGCATTACTGTTTCTCGGCCCCCTTTTTCGCCGCTCCCTCTTCCGGTCCTTTCGGATTCTCTCGGGTGGGAGCTGAGGGCGTCCCCGAGGTGGGGGTGGAGGGAAGCCCAATGACCGGGGAGGAATATCTCCAACGGACAGAGAAGCCTCGTTGCGGAGATGCGCCCCATATTCTGCGCGTGCCGAGTTCACTTTCGGGAGTGACGAAAAGCGGGAGACAACACAGGGCATCAGGTAGTCGTCATTGTCCGTCGTCAGACTGCACGACATGCTTTCTTGCTGTGGAGGGAGCGACGCCAAAAATTCAGGTAGAAATGTATGATCCTCCTCCCAGTCGCCGTCGGACTCGTGGTCGGGCTCTGACTTAAGCGCCGGCACGACGAGGTCCGGTACGGACTGGCGTCTGGGCGGCAGTCTCGGAGGCGGGAGAGAAGGCACGCTGGAGCTGGAGTGACGCGTGGACGGGGACCGTTTGAAAAGCATGGAAGAGTAGTAGTACGAGTATAGGTCGTCTGCATTTCGGCTGATATAGATGCACGTGCCGAGGATGATGGGCAGGAAGAGGAGGAAGAGCGTTACCGCGATGATGTAGTACACCGGCGTCAGCTTGTTGTTCATCTCCCACGACACCACCGCCGTCTTCCCTTGGAACGGCTTGACGTAGAAAAAGATGATTGACGTGGCATTGTAACAGGTCACGGGCTGAAAGGCAGAACACTGACAGCCCTGGATCTGAAACGTGCTGTTGCCGAACAACGTGAAACTTACACTTCCGGTCTTGCTGGATGTGTTGAGCCTCAACGTTGCGTTACTCCAGCATTGAACGTTGATTGTGGAGACCTCTGGATTACCTCCCGGGGCCACGCAGGTCACGCTTAAATTCCCGCCCCTGTTTATTTCAATGATGTCTCCCAGCTTCGTCTTGGACTTCCCATCCTTGAAGAACGGGGAAGTCGGTGGCGGCCATTTTAGATCTAGTCTCTTTGTGTCGTTGATAGAAAAGTCTTTCCACGGGTTGGCCTCGTAGTCCGCCACACATGTGATCAATTTCTTTTGTAACGAACTGTTCACATCTATCTGATAAGTCGCAGATGTTTGTCCGTATTCTGTAGCTGGAATTTCCTGAGATGCCAGAAATAATTTGAACACTGGCTTTGAGTTGAAGTCCGTTGCTGAACACATCACCTTAATGTTGGTTTTGCCAGAACACAGAATGCTGTCAACTTGCAACACAGTAACATTGGGGACATGTGTCACGTGGATAAAACCACTGACGTTATGTTGTACAAACTTTTCAGCGTGTGGGTAATCTGGTTGGTAAGAAATCCGGTAGGTATAGTTTCCCGCCTTAGTGTGATAGACCGTAGCGGAACATGTACTGTTATATGACAATGGACCACCCGTGTTGAGTGGAATGTTGGTGGTGGTCATTGAAATATTGGATTTACTAAATGCCATATTAAAAATTTCATTAAATCGACAAAGAATTCCGGGATACACGTTTACGCTGCTACATTGTAGTCTCACACCGCCATCAAATGTCCGGAATGTGCACTCGACAGCCGTGCCTGGACGATAGACAGCCATTCGACAGGAGCAGACTTCTTTCTTGACGTCATCATCGTTCATTATCCATAATAGACTCGTGATCCTGGTGTCACGGTCTTCAACTGAGATGTTTTTAAACTTGAGGTTGAACACAAATTTTCCCTCATGGTTTAACTTTAAATTGCTCACTGCATACTTGGGTTGTCGGTTGGTCTCACAAATCGTTTGTGTCAAAGCACATGTAGTGATGTCATTACTCTTACTATTCTTGTCGATCGTCTGCCACGTGATGAACCTGAATTGGAAAACACAAAATATGCTGTAATCATCAGATACTGATATAAAAATTATGTACAGGAAAAAATACAGTGAGACCTGGAAATAACGAAACGGGAAATAGCGTTGTTCCTGATATATGCGCTAAATCACAACGGCACGGAAACATTTTTTTTGCACCGTATCTGCAAAAAGCACCATCCCAGCACATAGCACCATCCCAGCACATATCACCATCCCAGCACATAGCATCATCCCTGCACATAGCACCATCCCTGCACATAGCATCATCCCTGCACATAGCACCATCAATGCACATAGCACCATCCCTGCACATAGCACCATCCCTGCACATAGCACCATCCCAGCACATAGCACCATCCCAGCACATAGCACCATCCCTGCACATAGCACCATCCCAGCACATAGCACCATCCCAGCACATAGCACCATCCCTGCACATAGCACCATCCCAGCACATAGCACCATCCCTGCACATAGCACCATCCCTGCACATAGCACCATCCCTGCACATAGCACCATCCCAGCACATAGCACCATCCCTGCACATAGCACCATCCCTGCACATAGCACCATCCCAGCACATAGCCCCATCCCTGCACATAGCACCATCCCAGCACATAGCACCATCCCTGCACATAGCACCATCCCAGCACATAGCACCATCCCTGCACATAGCACCATCCCAGCACATAGCACCATCCCTGCACATAGCACTATCCCAGCACATAGCACCATCCTTGAAAATATAACTACTTATACGTCGGTCCCTTGGTTTCGCCTTATTTCCAATTTTCACAGTACATACATATAAATCTTAAAGGTGTCTTTAAGTCGTTACGGTAAATAATCAACATATTACTTATATAATAGACGGGATAATTGATAACATTGTTAACACTAATGGATTGTGGCATCATCTATAACATGACAGATGTGTGTCCGAATTTACAGTGTGCAGTTTTGTTAGGTGAATTATTGTTTTTGATAATAATGAGGAACAGGTCAAGAATGATGAGGAACAGGTCAAGAATGGTGAGGGACAGGTCAAGAATGGTGAGGGACCGGTCAAGATGAAGAGGGACAGGTCAAGAATGGTGAGGGACAGGTCAAGAATTGTGAGGGACAGGTCAAGAATGGTGAGGAACACGTCAAGAATGGTGATGAACTGGTCAAGATGAAGAGGAACAGGTCAAGATGAAGAGGAACAGGACAAGAATGATGAGGAACATGAAAAGAATAATGACGAACAGGTCAAGAATGATTAGGAACAGCTAAGAATGATAAGGAACTGGTCAAGAATGTTGAGGAACACGTCAAGAATGGTTATGAACAGGATAACCACTTTAAGGTTTATGTAGAGCAGCGGTTATCAACCTGTGGATTGCCTACGACTATCGGGAAACACATATTTATGAAGTAGCAACGAAAGTAATTTTATGGTTGGGGGTCACAACAACACGAGGAACTGTATTAATAGAGTCGCGGCATTAGGAAGGTTGAGAACCACTGCTGTAGAGTGAGCATTTGTACACAAACACTGTTCCCAACTTTGATCTTTTCATGCAGTTTTTTTTTTCTTTAATTCACAGTTCAAAGATGTACCCACGTGCAACAATCTTGTCAATAAACTTTACTTACTGCTTGTTTTCGGGCAACATGAAATCTCCTGTACAGTTGAGCTCATACTGCCTGTTCTCCTCTGCAACTGGGCACCAGGGCACATCTGGGGCACACCAACACTTGTGTGCACACAGGCAGGCTATCCACAACAGGAACATGAACTCTTCCATGCTCCACTGCCAGAATATCCCAGGGTTTGGGAGGTTGGGTAAAAAAAAAAAGGAGCAGGGGAAAAAAGGGTTGGGGGGGGGGGAGTTTACAGATGTGGTCTACGCTTCTGGATTCTGTAAGACAAACAGCCAAAATAAAGTTATATCAATGACCATACTGTATGATGAAAAAAAAATGGAATGAAACAACAAATGAAATGAGAAAGTAGACAAAGAAATATGACAGCACGAAAACAATTAACAAAGAGGGTTGAGCCATACGTTATTTTGACGAGTGTAAACAATAAATGTATAACTATCAAGGTTGGCGAACAAACTATGCGACTTGACAGAAGAGAAGTTTGAAATACAACAAATAGCATGCGCAATTCTCTATGTAACAGTATAAGTCACGCTTGGGTTCAATAGTGCGGAAAATAAAAACTATCGACAACTACGCTAAATGAAGAAAAAAAAAGGGGGGGGGTGGGAGTTAGCAGTAATTGGGAATCTTTTTAAGTGCGTTACTTGACTGCAAGTCTTGTTAAGTAACTTAAGTAGATGGGAAGTTCACGCATTTTTGTGGCAACTGTTTGGCAGGCTACATCACGTCTCTTAGACTCGACCAATGAACTACGAAATTATCCAACTGAAACGTGAGACTCGTGCTTCGAACTTCCAAAGTTTACCAATGAATGGTGAAAGTTGACATAAGTAGGCTACTGAAGTACGAAGGTATCCATAAAAGGTGCACTGGGCGGACAAGCCAGTTTCTGGGCGGACAAGCCAGTTTCTGGGCGGACAAGCCAGTTTATCACACTCTCCTCTGAACAATTTAGCGCCACACAATTAAAATTATAAACAATTGATCAGCCCTCTCCTGACTAGTGTTTTTTCTTTGAATTTTTTAAACCGTTGAACTGTACTCTAATGAATTGGAAAAAAAAAACACACTAATTTAATTTTTTTTTTTTTTTTTTTTTTATTTTTTCAGTGAACGCCGAGACGTCTCCTGACTTTTCTGGACTCATTCCTCCCCCCCCCCACCCCCGCATTCGTGATTCAAAGTTGATAATTTGTGCATATCTCAACTTTGAGCAATTTTAATACCAAAGGCCCCACAGGTCGCATGCGACACAAAGCCTATGCAACAAAGGGCCCAATTGACTCTTGGCCCATACAACACAAAGTCCATGCGACACATGGTCCATGCGACACCGCATGGCCCATGCGACACAGGACCCATGCGACGGATCTTACAGAATGTCTTCTCTGAAGTAAATAAAACTAAAATAAAATCCGTTTGAGAAAAACCCAATTAAATAACATACGCTTTAAGCATTAAATTTGACCACAGTTAAAAAGATGTTCTACAACTGAATAGATTGCGCATGAACACAAATACGAAGGCATTATCAGTCAAATCACATCTCAGCTTCCTGTCTGACAATGATTCATAGAAAGGACGTACTTGTGAGTTGACATACAACTGAAACTAGCTGGTGTGTTCACAATACCATTTTTAGGCCCAGATAGCAGAGTTATCAAGTGTGTTCATCTTTGACTTACGTTAAATAAAGACTTTGCAAAACTTAAATTTCAAAGCGAGTTTTTTTCCTCCTATAAACATAACAAAAAAACATAACACAAAATCATAAGAAACACACATTACAAACAAACATAACAAACATAACAAACATAACAAGCAAGCTTAACACACAAAAATACATAACAAACAAGCATAACAAACATAACGATAAAAAAAACTATAATAATTATTTCAGCATTAAAAAAAATGTAAAAAAAATTGTATTTTTATAAAGTAATTAAGCATTAGGTCCGTGGTTCCCAACCTGTATTCCGTGAAGCCCTAAGGTCTACCCGTGTACATATAAATGACTCTGAGACCACTCTAGGGAAATACAACACACTTTTAATGTATAAAACAAAGGGAAAGACAAAGGGGCTCCATTATAGAAAATAACCCTGCGAGTCTAAAACTTTGGGAACCACTGTTTCAGGCCAAAATGAGCACAGTCCCCTTTGGTTATAGTTAACATTGAAGCATCCTTAGACACATGTTCCTTCAAATGGATAGAGTTCAAGAAGCCCACAGTGTTTCTGTGAAGGCTTTCGTTTCTTCTTTTCAGTAGGTTAAGCAACACACACACACACGCACGCACACACACAGCCCTGGCAGACAGAAACGGACACACACACACACACTCCAGGTTTCGGTTTCTGTAACCTCCCTTCTAATACATTTCTATCAGACGAGAAGTTAGGGGAACATTGCAACTACCTTTATCAAGACCAACGAATGTTGTTTTACATAAGGGATGCGTTTATTTAATTTTTTTTTTTATTTTTTTTTGTGGGGGGGGGCTGGCGGGGGGGGGGGTGGGGGGGTAGGGAGCGAGAGGGGCTAGGAGACGGGCATTCTACAATTAGTTCTTACAAACCATTTTAACATTTATTTCTTAATAATTGATTTCATGACTAATTTCAAATAGCTTATTTCCACAAATATCTTTCCCTTGCGCATTTCAATAATTGGTATTCACTACTTAGTTCCACAACTATCTTTCCCTTGTGTATTTCCATAATTGGTGTTCACTACTTATTTCCACAACTATCTTTCCCTTGTGTATTTCCATAATTGGTGTTCACTGCTTATTTCCACAACTAATTGTCCCTGCCTTTTTGCACACCTAGATCTCATACCTTATTTCCACATCTATCACTCACAGCTTATTTCCACAATTATTCCTCATAGCTTATTTCCACACATATTTGTTACTGCCTTTTCCCACAACTAATGCTCACTGCGTATTTCCCCAATTTGTTCGCACCATCTAAATATACATATAATCTTACTACTTATTTCTACTACCTTTTGTTTCTTCCACAGTTAGCTTACAGTACTCATTTCCCAACCGAATGTTCACACCACTCATTCACAAGTAATATTCACTATTTATTTCAACAACTTGACCTCACCATTCCCTTCACAACGGTGTCTCAGTATTCAAATTTCTCAAAGACCCTTGCCTTAATCGAGAAAGATTTTCATTATTTATTTTACTCCATATAAGATATATTTGAAATTACCATTGTGTGAAAAAGCTGCGATATATGACGCATTCAGTCACACTTCATTTTGATCCGCCGTAAACTATATCTTCAGTACATACCTGAAACTGAAATGAGTTGGACAAAATCACCGTCAACGAAATCAGAGGCTATGGATTTTATAATGTACGCATAGCTGACATTAACATATTATATCATTAGTCTTTTATCCTTCGTTAGCATTAGTCATTAAGTCCAGTGATAGCAATCAATACAAAACAATGTTTCATCTTCAAATTAATTATTAGAAATTGAGTTCAATTTACTTTCAGTCGACTTATATATAATTATACAAATATGTGTATAAATATAAGACTAACAAACCAAAGTATAACATACTACTACCCACTTACGTTAATGATTCCTAATGAGTAGTATTTCCATGACAAATCAACGTAGCCACACTGTAGTAGGCGTGTAGCGCGGCGATATAGAACACGGCACTTGACAGCACAACACACAACACGAGGCCATGTCGCATCACGACTTCACTACACAGCTGTTTGGGGGGAAAGAGACGTTCGAAAGTAAGGGATTTCCCCGGGTTTATATTTAGCTCTTCCGGGAAAAAGCATTTTCCATTTTATCACTTATTAACTTTCTGTGCTTCGGCGGAATAAGAAAAGGGGGGGGGGGGGAGGGGGGGGGGGAAGCACTGGATAGGCCAGGGACATGCAACCCTTATTTTTTTTCATGGAGGGCCCATAATCTAAATTCTTAAAATTCATGAAAACAAATTTCAAAATTAATACGATCTGTTTTTTTTTTTTTTTTAATTGTGTTCAGAATTTTAATTGTTAGATGATATTTTCAATGATGACGTAAGATAACTTTCTCGTTAATAAAAACAGAAGTAGAAATTCTATCTTGAAGCTACTTCATCTGAACATGAGTACAATAAATGAGTCGTTCTAAAAAATTGTAAGATAAGATTAAGATGATATTCATTTATAGATCCAAGTTAATGGAACTGCGTTTTGCTTACAATGTTCAACCCTGATTTGCAACATATCTCTTACAAGCATAGACAGCAAACATTCTGATTAAGACAATAATTTTAAGACATGCCGCCATTGTGGCTAAATCATGAAACAACCTCAATGTGTATCAACTATCCATTGAGCTGATAAGCCTTCTTGAAATGAGTCACGTTTCTGTGTGTGTGTGTGGGGGGGGGGGGATGTTGTTGTCAAAAATAACCCGGAAGAGATGTGTCACAAGAGACCTCCCATTTTCAGGAAGACTAAATTTGGAAATGCTCTTCCGGGAAAAAGCATTTTCCATTTTATCACTTATTAACTTTCTGTGCTTCGGCGGAATAAGAAAAGGGGGGGGGGGTAGGGGGGAGGGGAAGCACTGGATAGACCAGGGACATGCAACCCTTATTTTTATTCATGGAGGGCCCATAATCTAAATTCTATCTGCTTAGGGCGAATTGCTAATATGTTATTATGAATTAGTAGATGGAATGGAGCCGCATCATTTCATTATAAAGGCACTTGCTGAGTAACGGGCTTCTAACCGCGGCACGGCGATAGATGAATAGTTATTGGCGGAACTTGGTAAAAAATTATAATAAATCTTCTCACATAATCAGTTTAGAGCATAACAACCTTAACTTAAGGAAGACTTACGTTAAAAAATAAGATTTTTTTAAAAAGTTTTTGCAAAATAACATCTCGTTTTTCTCATTACACTAGAAGTAAACGCACCAAACACAAGCGGCTGCAATGCGTGAACTCCCCCCCCCCCATCTACTAAAGTTACTCCACAAAACATCCATTCAAGTGACCCACTTAAAAATAAAAAAAACCTAAAAAAAAATTTTTTTAAAAAGTTTTTTCAAAATAACATCTCGTTTTTCTCATTACACCAAAAGTAAACGCCCCCAACACAAAGGGCTGGAAAGCGTGAACCCCCCCCCCCCCCATCTACTAAAGTTACTCCACAAAACATCCATTCGAGTGACGCACTTAATAATAAAAAAAACCC